GGCTACAGGTGACAGTGTAGGTGGCTGGGTGATGGTCTCAAGGTGAACACAGGTGATGGTATAAGGTGACTACAGGTGACAGTGAGTGTGCAAGGTGACAGTGTAAGGTGTTGGCTACAGTGACAGTATAGGTGACTACAGGTGATGGTGTAAGAGTGGCTACCCAGGTGACAGTGTGAGTGGCTACAGGTGACAGTATAGGAGAGAGTACAGGTGATGGTATGAGTGGCTACAGGTGACAGTGTGGAGTGGCTACAGAGTGACAGTGTGGAGTGGCTGCAAGTGACAGTGTAAAGAGTGGCTACAGAGTGACAGTATAAGAGTGGCTACAGAGTGACAGTGTAAAGAGTGGCTACAGAGTCACAGTATAAAAACAGCTACAAGTGACAGTGTAAAGTGGCTGCAAGGTGACGGTGTAGAGTGGCTACAGAGGTCACAGTATAAGGTGGCTACAGGTGACAGTGTGGAGTGGCTACAGGTGACAGTGCAAGGTGGCTACAGGTGACAGTGTAGGTGTGCAGGTGACAGTGCAAGAGTGGCTGCAGGTGGTGTGGAGTGGCTACAGGTGACAGTGTAGAGTGGCTACAGAGTGACAGTGTAAGAGTGGCTACAGAGTGACAGTGTAAGAGTGGCTACAGAGTGACAGTGTAAGAGTGGCTACAGAGTGACAGTGCAAGAGTGGCTACAGAGTGACAGTGCAAGTGTGGCTACAGAGTGACAGTGCAAGAGTGGCTACAGAGTGACAGTGCAAGTGTGGCTACAGAGTGACAGTGCAAGTGTGGCTACAGAGTGACAGTGTACGAGTGGCTACAGTGACAGTATAAGAGTGACTACAGAGTGACAGTGTTAATGTAGCTACAGAGTGACAGTGTGTGAGAGGGCATACCAGACCGACACTAATGATGTATGCTGACCTAGGGACCGAGGTATGCTTCAACATGCTTATCACTGTGTGGCGGGCGGGTGGGGACTTTATGAATGCCGTAAGAAGACTCTATGCTGATAAGTATTATTTCTCGTTTCTAAACATCAAATAACATCAAGTATGCCATCATATATAGCGTTATATTCTTTACAGGTCTTGGTATAGCGGCATATGAGGCATCACAACCCAGACAAGGCATAAGTTTGATAAAAGTATGCTTACGGAGAATAACATTATAAAGTATACATAAATACAGGTATATATAAAGGGCATATACGAGTACTATCCCAAGGTATGCTAAAGATTCGACCTAATTTAGTACAAGTATACAATGAAGCGCTTACTAATACCTGATACGGCGACAGGTATAAGGGATAAATTAATGCAGGTACATTAGGTTAAATACAGGTAAATACAGGTAAATTATGTTAAATACAGGTAAATTATGTTCAATACAGGTAAATTTAAAGGCATCTACTAACCCCTGCTAACGCTGCAAGTGGCATTATCTCCGTTACAGGCTATGAGAGGCATATCTATTCATGTACGATGCTACTAAGGGCATATCCTGCGGCCTTGGCATAAAGCTGGAGTGCGGTATACAATGCGCCATCGGCAACATTCATGACCACAGTCGCTAAAGGTCTTGTTGTACGGCGATGAAGAATGACCATTGCGGAGTGTACAAGGTCTAGTGCTAGTTAAGTAGTGGTGGTGGGTAGTGTTAGTAGTGGTGGTGGTAGTAGTAGTAGTAGTAGTGGTAGTGCCAATAGTAGTAGTAGTAGTAGTAGTGTTAGTAGTCATAGCAGTAGTCGTAACAGTAATAAATAAAAGTCGTAATAGTAACATTGTTTTTTCCTTGTTTGTTTGTTTACTTGTTATTAATATTGATTGTGATTGCCCATGTTGTTGATTGTTGTTATTGTTGTTGATTGGTTTGACGTGACTACATAATAACATGTTGTAGGTGTTGTCGTAGTGGTTGTTATAATAGATGCTGGTTATTGTAGACGCTGATGCTAGTAACTGTTGCCGTATAATAATAATAATAATAATAATAATAATAATAATAATAATAATAATAATAATAATAATAATAATAATAATAATAATAATAATAATAATAATAATAATAATAATAATCGTGGTGAAAGCAGATGTGTGAGTCTACATTACAAACATTTCCCTCCAGCTGAATTTCCCAACACTATGTGGCTGACTGAGGGAAGAAAAAAAATACCCCCACGTCACCAGGCCACACTAGCCCCCAGGCGCCTTGCTGATGTAGCCCCCCTCCCTCAGCCCCTCCCCAGCTCACGCCCCGCCAACCACTCGTCATTAACTGTGCTGATGACCACGTATTGGCCACCCTTGTGTCAGTATAGTCCACTTTGCTTTCACTTTAACTCCCGGTACGAGGGCACAGTTCCTGCTACGAGGCTCTTGGCGAATGGGTCATCGTGAAGTCATGAGCTTCTGTTACTGAGGCACTGTCGAGAACAGACAGCTAATACACTTACTCCTGTTGCCTGGTTTAAGTTTTACCCTTTCCAGCTTCCCAGGGTAAAAGAAAGAACTAAAATGCATAAATAAATTCATCACAATATATAAAAAGCAAAAATAAATTCATAACAACGTCATATTTTTTGTTTTAACATTTGGTAAACATTTTGTCACTACCTCAATGATTCGATGAAACCAGACAAACATTCATTCAGGTAAAATCGCTAATAAAGACGAAAAAAAAAAGGCTGCACTTTATTAACATCAACTGTATACATGAGAGTTCATGAGGATGCTGCTCCCTGGGTACATATATTACGATGGAGGGTTAGGTTAGGTTAGGTTAGGTTAGGTTACGTTAGGTTTATTGTAGGTTTGTTGTAGGTTTTTGTTAAAATAAATATATAAATTCTTTTTTTTACTTGTCTTTAGTGATCACGTATTAGTTTTTATTAGATAATCAATTGATGAATTCGCATGTATCTCTCTTAATTAATCACCAAATTCCTATATTTCTATCACTTTTATTCCTCTATTAACTATAATTCATCAATGTACTCAGCTAATGTCTTTATATATTGATATTTGGTTCATAGTACAACCAAATATCAACCATTTGGCAAAAAGTAATCTATCACTATCATACACTGACTTATTTTTATTGTATTTCCTTCGTTGATATCTAGTCGGGAATCTAACCAAATACCAACCAGAAGACGGCAAACAAACTCGACAGTACTGACAAGAGGCTGACACTTTATTTAGGATGGGAAACACACGAGAGTAACTTACATTCCCTCATCTTTCTGTCCACTCAGCCACACCACTAACCCACCAACACCCTACTCCCCCATCCTCTTCCCCTGGTGCATTGCGGGACACCATAGAAAACGACCGTCAGGATTAAGTAGAGGGGGGGGGGGACTTAAGGAGATGGAGAACTATGGAGAGAAGCTGTCGACGCCACCGTACACCACTGCGGTCTAAGGGTGAATTGTGACTGCTCTTGCTAATTAAGTCACGTTTTCCTTTATTTTATGTTTTAGTGTTTTTTTAATATATTTTCGTTAGTCCGTGATTTTTTTTGTTTTTTAATTACTTGTATTTAAGAATGATCATCAAGAAGAAGAAGAACATCAACTAGAACAACAACGAAGACAAGAACAAGAAGAAGAACAAGGTGTGTATTGTAAGTCAGTTATCAAGACCTCATCAGTCATGACTAATATCGTAACATTTTAATCCTGCGAAGTGAATGAGGGTTAATGATTACTTCAGTCGGATTCACTTTTTAAGACTTTATGACTGGGTTCTGCCTAGTACTCTTCCAGTCGTCTCTCCCCGTTCCCCTCCACTTACTGAACAGGGATCAGAAAGGTGGCTGTTCTGTGTTTCTAAATATGAGTTGTAAATTATTTTGTGTTTCGAATAGAGAAGAAACATATAAGAGAAAAAGGAAAGAGATAGAGAGAGAGAGAAAGAGAAACTGATAAACGTAGACAGACAGACAGGTAGATAAACGGAAAGTAAGAGAGACCAAGACAGAGAGATAGACAAACGGATAAACGAAGAGAGTGAAAGACAGAGACAGACAGACAGACAGGTAAACAGAGAAAAAAGAGAGAGAGAGAGAGAGAGAGAGAGAGAGAGAGAGAGAACCCTACACCACATCTCTCATCACAACACACTCTAAAACACCTTATTCCCTCACAAACACCCCCTCCTCCACCCCCCCAGGACGTCCCCTTTGTGGTCTTGCATCTCAGAACCCCCTTCCCTTTTACCCTTACCCCTTACGCCACCATTGCTCCCTCCCCCCTACATGACCTACTTGCTCGGAACCTCACTTTGACGAAGACCTTCACTTATTTGCATAAACTTGTCATTGATACTATTAATAGTTGCCCTGAAAAAAAAACAAGAATAGGAGTATTTGTAATGGTTGTTGTTGTTGTTGTAGTTATTGTTGTATTAGTAGCAGTTGTAGTAGTGATGATGATGGTAATAGTAGTAGTAGTAGTGGTTGAAATTAATATATATACTGCACATGCGTCACTCAAAACTCTCTTACGATATCAAACTTGCAGCAGACTAACACCAATGACCATAAAGACTTACAGTCATATAAATATGCGCGACTGTATCCGTGTACAGTATATAAACATATGTAAATGAAGAGTCGATTGTATAAACCGGTAAATATGTATACATCTAAATGACGATGCTAGCCACCCATGCGAAGGTGACCAGAGAAAACGGTGAAATGAAACAAGAGAATGAGAAATATTGAAAGGTAAACTAAACTAAAGTGGAAAACATTAGCTACACAATTTGCAATAGTGGTAAACAGTAAAGAAAAAGAAAAAGAAAAAAAAAAATTATATATATATATATATATATATATATATATATATATATATATATATATATATATATATATATATATATATATATATATATATCCTATAATAATGATTCAATTAAAATAATGGACAAAAGAAGTAAAGCGGAAAGGAACATAGGAGAAAACAATAAGGTGTAAAAGCAGTTCGGTAGATAGGTATGTACTTACCTCACTGGCGGCCGCGAGGTGTCTCTCCAGCTGTAGTCTCTCCTTGGTCACAGTACGAATGATCTGTTCCAGCTCCAGCGTGCTCTGTGCCCGCGTGATCTGAGGACATGGAGGAGGACATGGTGTGAGATATGGAAGGACACGTTGTGATATGGGAGAGAGGTGTCAAATTATGGGAGAGAAGTATCAAGTCATGGGAGAGAAGTATCAAGTCATGGGAGAAAGGTGTCAATTCCCACACCCTCAATGAGTCCTGCGGTTAGGTGTTCAGGGATCTGTCGTGTAAAATATTACCACAGTGAAATAGTTTATGTCTTACGATACGAGATTCGAGTTCCTAGTTAAATCCGTTTTTAAATTTGGCTGTGAGAAAATCATAGACTGGGTTTCCCTATCCAATTAGACCCAACGTTGTGACCCAGACCAGCATGTGGAGTCCTTGTAGGCCATGATGAGGGCCTTACGAGGGCTGTGGGACAATGCTGAAGACACTACATCGGAACGCCCCCCCCCCTCCCCACCCTGGCGGACGGTGATGTAAGGCCAATACGCATTAAAATTTCAGTGGCAATCATGAGCGCGTCGTGTGGTTTAAATTGTTTATCCCCGTAAAGGTCAGCTCTTCTCTATTCATTCTTGTACGCCCCTCGCCACCACCGTGTGCAGGCGTCCAGGATAAAGAGTAACGTACACTCTCCCTCGTTCGTTATCATACACTATTTCTAACCGTTTTACTACAAGTGTTCCGCTATGCTGCTTCCCCTCCCCCCACGGCTCCTCCCACAACAAGGCTCCGAGACGCCCACCAGCTTCACCTATGACAAAACTGAAGCGATTTAATCACTCCAAGTTCCTTATGCTTAGTTCTGCTTTTAATTGTTAATGACATTTTGTTCTTTCTTTTTAATTTCTTTATATTGCTCGCTGAAATATATTATGCTCTATCCCGTAGCGCATTAGTCCAAAGCAACAAACACTGATAGGGTTTGACATTAATGTTTGTACAATGATGAAAACTTACCTGACCGGATAATTTTTTTTACAATTCACAATATCTAAGAAACATTCCAATAGTTGTATTAGAATAATCTTAACAGTAAATTCGTTGTAAATTACACTGAGAGACAATTGTGTTCTTTCTAATGTACGCAATTGTCGATTTTCTAACACTAAATTAAAGTATATTATTCCAACATGCATTATGGGAACTGGGAAGACTGATGGCCGAGGCTTCTGCTGATCCAGACACTTGTAAGTATAACATAAAATAAGTAATTGTCGTAGGTGAGTATTAGCATTAATCCAACTAAGATAAATATTGATTTTATTAATTATTGTTACTGTACATCTGGTCAGAACCATTGATAAGACAACGGTCGTCTTTGTAGTTGTTGTCACGTGATGGCATGTGTTCTAAAGTCGTTGATTTTATTAACTTGGTTTATGTTACAAACATCTAATTAGGAATATCTCGTTAGTGATGGCAACTCATCCAACACGAATAATACATTGTTTACAGGTGTTGTCAGTTACCAGTTGAAGTAATGAGTCGAATAACATACAAAATTAGCGTTATGGCCTTCCCTTTCTTTTCACCGCAATGTTGCTTCACTCTCTCTTTTACAGGTACTTTAACGGGCAATGTTCGGTGGATTTGGCATCTTGTGTACCGCCGGCGAGGCCGTGGGCTCGTAACACACGTCTTGCCCGCGGTGCCCACCGTTTCTCTGTGGATGTCGGTCACACTAGAATAACCCGTAACAATAGATCCTTCTTTCCTCAAGCAGCTAAACTGTGGAATGATCTGCCTTCCTCTGTGTTTCCATACTCATACAATCTCTCTCGCTCTAAAAAGATGGTTTTCCGGCATCTTCGTTGTGTAGATTAATATAATATTTCTTTTCTATTTTTAATTTCTTTCTACTCTTATTTTTTCGCCCCCTATGCCCCGTTGTGGGTCAATTACCTGTGCCCTGGTGGGCTATTCCCCGTAATGAATAAATAAATAAATAAATAAATAAATAAATATATATATAATATATATATATATATATATATATATATATATATATATATATATATATATATATATATATATATATATATATATATATATATATATTTCTATGTGCTCCATAGAGTTATGCGTAACTGACAATGTGTTTAGAGCAAATGGGAAGTTCTACAAGCAAATATTTGGCATGAGCATGGGTAATTGTCTTTCTGCTCCTCTAGCCTGTATTTATATGGAGTTTTTTGAGTCTAGATTACTACCCAATATAGTGGACTTTATTCCTCCATGGTATAGATATGTAGATGATGTTCTTTGTCTTTGGCCTAGAAACAGTGACCCATTGGAATTTTTAGACAAGCTTAATGATATTGTCCCAAGTATCACATTCAAAATTGAAAGAGAAATAAATGGATCCCTTCCATTCCTTGATATGCTTATCATGAGAAATGGCCAAAACTATAAATTTAAGGTATATAGAAAGCCCACACAGGTAGACAGTTTCATTCACTTTTTATCGAATCACCTTGAGTCTACCAAAATGTCAGTTTTTTCTGCTATGTTCTTAAGATGTCTGCGTATTTGTGACTCTGAATTTATTGACGATGAATTGAAACACATTCGTTCCATTGCACAGAAACTCGGGTACCCTTCTGTGTTTGTTGATCGTTGTTTTAAAAGGGCTAAAAAATCCTTTCATTCCTCTCAAACCAGACAAGTTCCTACACTTAAGAATATTTTGACTCTGCCCTATCGTAATGAATTTGTCCCGTTAGTTCGGTCCCTCAAGCTTCTAAATATTAATGTTGTTTTCAAGTATGACTCAACCATTACCAATATGTTAATAAGGAATAGCCCAAGTTTGAATGTAAATGGAAGTGTTTATTGTATTCCATGTAGCAAATGTAATTGTAATTATGTAGGACAGACAGGAAAAACACTGCAGCTCAGAATCAAACAACATAAGTACAATATCAGAACAGCATCTGAAAGCAGTGCCCTGTTCGTTCATGTTAGGAATAATAATCACCCCATTGCTTGGGAAAAAAGCTTAGAAGTATTTAAATCATCTTGTGTCACAGAAAGACTTCTGGTTGAAGCTAGTTTGATTAAGGAATTAAAATCAATAAACCTTAGTGATGGTCAGTTCAAAACTGATAATATGTTACATAAATTTATTTGTCAGTGGCCCAAGGTTAAAAATGCTTTGAAAACCTTTGATCTAGATGTATGATAGTTATTTTGTGGGTCCCTTATTTTTGACCTGACCTGACTAGTCACGTCACCCCCCTTCTCTTAAGCTCCTCTACGTGTGTGTTGGTGTGGGGATTAGTGGATGACATCATTATGACCTGACCTCATGTTTTTAAGGTCACCCTGTATATTTAAGCCTCTCTCTGTCCATGTAATCCAGTTGCCTCTGAAGATGTCTTGAATAAAGACGAAAGCTAAGGTGCTCCGTTGTTTCCCTTTTCCCGTGTGTGTGTGTGTGTGTGTGTATATATATATTGTATAGTCACCCACAAATAAGTCCATATAATTTAGGGAATCATAGAAAATGATTCACTTTCACCTCACAGAAAAAGAGACAAAGATTACCAGGGGGAACGCTTGTATATTTACTTTCACTATACATACAGTAAATACAGGTACAGTATTATTAACCGTGTGATATCAAGTTACCCAATATTATCCCTATGATGCTCGAATTGATATAGAATTTTGTGGATAGACGAGTCAGTGAGGTATATTAACCAGCTAAAAGAACAATGGCTAACCACAATGACTTTGCAAAGCCTACGATAATAATTTTTCCTTGTGATAATTGAAGAAATATTATATCAACTGTCTCATATAAAGTGCTATATCATTAATACATATAAATCACTATTTCTCTGGGTAAAAATACTATACTATGCATAATATGAAATAGAAAACTGCCTCTGTACCTGTCCTACTGTTTATAAGCACGCTATACCTGTACCTTAGACCACTTCCCATAAACCAAGTCCCCGATATGACTTAGAAATACGTTCACCAGGGTAGTCCTACCTCGCCGTTCTTTCCAGTGAGTTTCCTGACTAGTTCTCTCATGCGTTGTTTAAGTCTCTGTATCTCCTTGTCTCTCTCGTGGAGTTGCTTCTCGTACAGCGCCTCCTTCTCCCTTTGTCTCACCACCAGCTGGTTGCGACGCTCAGTGGCGGGTGACTCTTTGGTTTTCTGAAAAGTGAAGGACATGTTAGTGTTGTGGAGTAACTATATTTCTTAAGGAAGATAATCATATAATCTAAGTTATTCATTTTAATTTATTTATCTTATATTTTGGAATATTTTGAGAAAACTAACGAAAAATTAGAGCTTCATAAACCTCGACATTTTACATTTTGCTTAATCAGTGTTTAAAATATGATATAAAACAAATGTAAAAATCTAAGTTCTGTCTGACGTTCTCTCTGTTTTGATCTTTATTGAAAAAAAGTCATCCATAACTTTAGAATGTCTTTGACCTCCTTGAGAAATGGAAAACAAAATCATAAATATATCTGGTTTTAACCTTTCTTAAAAGAAAAGCAAATAATTAATTCACCTTCTTGGCTTCACCCAGTTGTTGGGTAAAACTAGGACGGGGTATCCCCCTCCCTTACCACTACAAACCCAGGATCACCAGCCCAGAAAATGCAGCAGAGACCAGTGTATGGACACAGCTCTGGTGACCCATTTGCCATCAGTCATGTTTAAGCTAAGTTTTATGGGTGGATGACCTTCCTAACACTAACCCCACAGGATGGGAACAGATGGCAAGACAAGGTAAAACAACTCCTTGAGGTAATCGAAGATAAATATAAAAACTCTCAAATTCATCTCCTTTAAACTCACTAGAAAACAATAGAAAAAATTAACTCCGCTCTGATTTTTTACTCAGGAACAAAATTTGAAAATGGAAAATAACTCTAAACCTCTCTCTTGTACTGAACTGTCTGGTAAAAAATAAATAAAAAATAGGACTAAAAATTAATCTCTAAAATTTCTGGAAAAAACTACTTAATATTTTTCCCTGAACACTTGGTAAAAAAAAACTAATTTCCTCTCATTGAACTTTCTTAAAACAACAGACTCAGTGAATTATACAACCATATTTCATTACCTTCTCGAGATTTTTGACTTTCTCCTCCAACTTTCTGGTGATGGTGGCCAACTCTGTGTTCTTCCTCTTCAACAGTTGCATCTCTCGTTGTCTGTGTCTCTCTTTATCTCTCAGGTCCAGTGGTCTCTCCAGCTCCACTTCCATCTTGTTTTTCTGTCAGCGAGAGAACGAGACCCTTGAGGTTGTGGTTTATTGACATGATCTCTCAAGGTGTTACATAATGAGGGTTTTGATTTCATGTTTCTCTCTGTCTCTACCTCTTTCTTTCTCTACCTATGTATGTCTCTATCTCTCTGTCTCTATATCTCTGTCTCTATCTCTCTGTTTGTTTCTCTTAATCTCTGCCTCACTGTATCTCTATATTTCTGTCTCCCTGTCTCCATCTCTCTCTCTATCTCTACCCCCCCCCCACCCTTTCTCTCTCCCTCTTTGTCTCTATATGTTTTTGTTTGTCTTAATCAAACAGATATAAACAATATGATATGCAAGTCAAAGAGGCAAACAGGCGTACACAATCTTACAGTTTACATAACAGACAGACAGACAGACATCAAAGTGAAACAAAAATTACCCGGAAATAACATTCTATTTTGTACCGTAGAACGTGTCAAGTCATTTTGGAAGGGTTGTTGTGATTCGCCGCTGTTCTGGTAATGCTGTTTCTTTTTACTTCATATCATTTCTCATTTCTGGCAATGATTTTCCTTAAAAACCTGTTCTGACAAAACTGGTTTTGCCCCCAGTCTTTTTTCTAGCAATACTGTTTTTACTTCTAGTCTTTTCTTGTAATTTTTTTTTGTCTTTTCATCTGGTAATACATTTTTACTCCAAGTCTCTTCTGGTAATACTGCTTTTACTCCCTTTCTTCTTAAACAAAACCCATTAAGTTGGAAAATTACCACGAACAAGACCCCTAACGTCACCAGACCCGCCTAACTTAAGCCAATCATAACCTGTCTTTAACAACCAGAGGTACGTTATAGTTTAGTCAGATCAGGTTTAATTGGTTGACGTCCTCTGAAAATAGTTATATATTTTCATCACAATTTTGTCGAGATAGTTTTATTGAGTGTCCATAAGTCGGGGAGTTCTCTTAGCTACGGTGAGGAAAAAAAATCAATACAGTTTCAATACCTAAAAAATTTGCCCATGATCTTTCCTTTGTGGCAGCTCTACTAAGGACGTGTTTCAGTGTCCAGGAGGTTTACAGGGCGTGGCGTCATACCAGCTAACTCTTGACAGTGTCCAGGAGGTTTACAGGGCGTGGCGTCATACCAGCTAACTCTTGACAGTGTCCAGGAGGTTTACAGGGCGTGGCGTCATACCAGCTAACTCTTGACAGTGTCCAGGAGGTTTACAGGGCGTGGCGTCATACCAGCTAACTCTTGACACAGATGAAGTAGTATGAACTTTTTTTTTACTTGATTTAGACTCTGTTCATTTATCAATTATTTTTTGTATCTTTTACACATATCTGAACCAGGAACTACCTCACATATACCGAACACTTTACTGTCACTTCCTCTCCTATGACTGTGCATTTATCGCTCATGTGAAAGTAAACTCTCCATTTCTTATACAATATACAACAGATTTAGGAGGTAATATGTATGACAAGAGACGGTGGTGGATTTTGGCCTTGTGGTGTCATGAGGTTCCTGTGCAGGTGTTGTTAAGGTGACCTTGTTCATGAACAACACACCTGTGAGGTGTAAGGTTTCGGGTACATGATGAATGCAACCAGTTATTAGTGACGACACCTGGTCTTTCAGGTGTTACTCGTTTTATTAAAAAATCCTCTATTTTTTTTCATTCTCTTCTCTTGGTGCAATTTCTTTTATCAAAGTTAAGAGCAAGATTGTTAGATACTGTGTTTATTTTATGTTCGTTTAGTTTTGTCTTGCAATGGAAACATTTTTATATAAGGTTTACTGCACTCAAGAGACATAACATTAGTGCGTATTACTCAGCGGCAACCTGGATTAATATTCTTCCGCCGGCGAGAAGCCACTACGACTAACCTGCAGGTGAGAAGAATGTAACACTATCATGTCCAACAACTGAATCTTTCGGCAAACATTTTCAAGTTTCGAGTCATCCTCAGTGTTTCCGTACTCTGTCTGTCTGTCTGTCTGTCAGTTCTCATATAAGAAATACTATCCAACAGGCAAGAGAAACTTGGATTTCCCTTCCCTTCCACCTGTTGCTGGATAATGACTCTAACCTGGAGCAGAAACTTACGCTCGCTGAGTGTCATGTTTACAAATGACAGCTGGCTAGCTAGTTGGTGCTTCGTGTATGCAAAAGGTCTATATCATGTTATTTCTCAACCACGAGTAACGGCGCATTGTAATGACCAAGAACTACTACCTTGTGCTGTGAGGGAGGGTGAGGTGTGAGGGAGGGTGCTAGTAACGGACTGTGATAATAACAAGAGTGTAATGGAATGATGGTGGTGATGGTGTGGTCGAGTTGAGCTTCACCAGGGGCCACACACACACACACATCATTATTATTATTACTATGAAGAGGAAGGAAGTAAAAAATATGAGGAAGGGGGGAAGAAGTGAAGAAGAATGGAGGGAGAGATAGAGAGGAAGGAGAAATGGAAAGGATAGAAGGAAAGAGAGGAGGAAGATGACATAAAATGGGGAAGAGGGAAGGAAACTGAGAAATACCGTAAGGGAAGGCTGGACAATAAGGGCAGTAGTAGGTAAAGACACTGGAGTTAATGAGGGAATTACAGGTAAGATGATGCAGCCTCTCTCTTAATCTCAACAGGTAAAGGTAACCTCATTATTTCCGAATTCCCTTAAAAGAGAAAATAATGGTCAACGAGACATTAACTATTAAACTATGAGAATCTATGAAATTTCTTACTAAAAGTTGTAACGCAAATCAGAAAAATGTCAGTTTTAGGCGATATTTTCCCGACAAAGTCAACAAAGCTACGAGGTGTTTGTTTACTGTCAATCAGCTGTTGCGGAAATGGATCCAGTTGATAATTTAAGGTTTTTATCTTCTCGCTTGATTAACATTCCATTGATTATATCCTGTTTTTTGGTTTGTATGTTTAAACTTATATTGTATAATGTAATTGAGTCAGTAAAATGTATAACAAAATTCACACACCTCGCTATTATTATTCATTGCTGTGAGCTTATAATTCACCACTAGGTAACACCAAGGACATGTTCCTGCGTAGAACCGATCACATTTCCAAGGTTATGTTCGTATGTATGTCTAACTCTGTGGGTGACTATATCGACCTGTTTAATCATATTCTGAACAACTACTACGACAATTTATTATTAATTATCTCTCTCTCTCTCTCTCTCTCTCTCTCTCATTACCCTAGAAACCCAATTGACATATAGAGCAAGTTTGAGACCCTCACCAGCCTAGCCCAGCCCGATCCACCCCACCCCACCCCGGTGGTCACGTGTAAACAGGCTATCATTATACCTCGTGGAACATCCGGCTACCACAACCTGCGACTGTACATCAACAACACAACATCTGGGCCCCGTTACTGCCTTCTATATTAATTAGATTTTGTTTATATATTTTTTTATCTGACGAGTATTGTTGTTTGAGTGTGTGGGAACATTTAAGTTTTTTTTTTACGTAATTATCCCCGAGCTTATTTTACCTGATGATTAAATACATAGACTATCATCATCATCGTCGTCGTCATTATTATCATCGTCGTCATTATCGTCGTCATCATCAATCATTATCACCATCACCACCAATCATCCAACACTTAGTAGCCTCATAGTCTATCACTCATTATTATCTATCTTTCTCCACCATTATCATCCCTTACTTATCCAACACTCTCTTCTTACCTTCAATCCCTCTTTCTTCTCTGTTTTCTAATCAATCTCAATCTTTCTACCTTATAACTTCCTCGTCATCTACACTACTGTCATATATTCCTCCCTACCTCCCAATTTCAGGTGATCCCATAGCTAAAAATTAAATCACTTAACCTAACATACCTCAATCTAACCTAACCCATATAATAAACAAACAAATGATTAAACAAACAAGAAAAAAATATAAAAATAAAAACCAATAAATTCCTGTAATAAATGAGTTAATAAAAGTAAAAACATTTAAGTAACTCAGAAAATAATAATCATCTGGTTTACGAATGAATCCACGAAGATCATCTCACCAGTGTAGAGTTCTCAGAGTTGAGGGTCTTGCAGTGTATCTGAAGACGGGAGAGCTGGGTGTTGAGGCTAGAGTTACGACGAACCAAACACCGCTCCTTCTCTGACAGCGAGGGGCGACTCTGTGTGTGTTGGGGACAGAGAAAAAGAGAGTTAGTACAATTTGTTTATGATCTAGATTACGAGGACGATAATGGGGATAATTTTTTTTATTATGAAACTTAATGAATGAAAATATATTTATCATCCACTTTGTCCTCCTCCCTCTCCTCTTCCCCCACCCCTCTCCTCCCTCTCCTCTTCCCCCACCCCTCTCCTCCCTCTCCTTCCCCTATATACCTGCCCCCACCCCTCTCCTCCCCTTCCCCCATACACCTCCCCCTACCCCTCACTCACTACTCAACAATGATCCTCTTGGGAAGATTAACTCAAGCACCCCGGGACCTGACCACACATACTTTCACCTCCTTCAGGGGATTAAATATGTTTTGGTTAGTTCCTCTTCCTGACTTAACCACATAATGCGAGTTCGGTGTTTTCCCCTTCAGATATTTCGATATGTTCCTCTCAATTACATCCAATAATTTCATGTATTTGTGGATTATCTATGACAAAGGTTTATACAATTGACTCCTCCTTATCACCAACTCTTAATATCCGTCTCTGTGATAAGAATAGTTTCAGTAGTCTTCTTCCCTCGTCTCACTAAAACTGTTTACACTTGGGGAACATTCTTAATACAGTGAAACCTCCATATAACGGACTTACCTCTATATATAATCCATTATATATTTTTTTTTATATCTAACGGTTTCAAATCTAACAGACCCTTGATATAACGGAATTTCCTCACTGTAATAGTCCGTTAAATAGAGGTTTCACTGTATTTTATATCACACTGTATTTGTAATAGTAAATAAAATCTTCACTACGATATATATAAATAATGTCTAAAACACTTAAGCCCCCTCTGCCCCCCCCTTTTTCTCCTCCTCCTTCTCCCCCATTTTCTCTCAACCTTTCCACCAGTATGAACGAAAATAATAATATTGGAAGTTGAATCAAACAATAGAGTAATTGATCACTTAACAAACCTGACAATAGTCGATTCCTAAATAAAAAGCTCCTTGTTCTGTTCTATTCTCTCTCTCTCTCTCTCTCTCTCTCTCCATTCTCACAACGTACCATCAGAACCAGCGCTACCCAACTAAGACCGTCAAATTACAGAGGTGAATAAGTGAACATTTACCTTCAAACATAACTGCTCTTTGCGTCACTGTACTTTTAAATTTTACCACAAGACCCATCTAGAGCGCTTCTTATACACCGTTGAAATTGTTGGTTAAAAACGGTGCTTATTGTGTTCCAGAGAGAGAGAGAGAGAGAGAGAGAGAGAGAGACAACGCTCTATCAGAGTTCTCTTGTTCAATTTTCCTCGGGCGTTCAACATCGTCGGTGTCACAATTGTAATTCAAGTTGAGTTTTTCCACGATTTCCAGCGTAAACTCCAATTGTATTCTTAATTGTCTTTGTGTGTGTGTGTTCTTGTGTGTGTGTGCGTGTGCAGGATGATGATGATGGTGGTGGATATGGTGATGATTTTGGTGCTGGTGGTAGGTGATAGTGGTGGTGGTGGTAGTAGTAGTGAGGGTGATAGGGTGATAGTGACGTGGTGGTGGTGGTAGTAGTAGTCACGTCACCTACTTCCAACAACCATTGGGTGATACGCCCATCCACGCAGGTGATGGTGGTTATAGTGTTGATAAATTCTGTCATATCATCATCTTCCGCCGTGGTTCACGCCCATCCACGTCACCCTTTTTCCACCACTGCCAATCCACACCCACAGATGTTCACCCATTGTCATCCACGCCCATCAATGTCACCCACTTCATTCATTGCCATCCACGCCCATTCACCTGCCACCCACGCCCATTCAATGTCACCCACCAACCATTGCCATCCACGCCCATCCACGCCCACCATCGCCATCCACACCATTCACCGCCATCCACGCCCATTCAATGTCATCCGCTTCCAGCCATTGCCATCCCGCCCATTCACTGCACCCACGCCCATTCAATGTCACCCACTTCCAGCCATTGCCATCCACGCCCATTCACCACCACGCCACCAATGCCACAACCATTGCCATCCACGCCCATTCACCACCATCCACACCTATTGCCATCCACGCCCATTCACCACACGCCCATTCACGCCCACGCCCCAACCATTGCCATCCACGCCCATTCACTGCCATCCACACCTATTCACCATCCACGCCCATTCACTGCCATCCACGCCCATTCATCATCCCACGCCCATTTGCCATCCACACCTATTCCACACGCCCATTCACTGCCATCCACCCTATTCACTGCCATCCACGCCCATTCACTGCCATCCGCCCATTCAGAGAGAGAGACCACAGTGCCAACTCATTCATTAACACATAGAGAAAGCATTTGTATATGATGACAGATCTACTGTGTGTGTGTGTGTGTGTGTGTGTGTGTGTGTGTGTGTGTGTGTGTGTGTGTGTGTGTGTGTGTGGTGTGTGTGTGTGTGTGTGTGTGTGTGTGTGTGTGTGTGTGTGTGTGTGTGTGTGTGTGTGTGTGTGTGTGTGTGTGTGTGTGTGTGTGTGTGTGTGTGTGTGTGTGTGTGTGTGTGTGTGTGTGTGTGTGTGTGTGTGTGTGTGTGTGTGTGTGTGTGTGTGTGTGTGTGTGTGTGTGTGTGTGTGTGTGTGTGTGTGTGTGTGTGTGTGTGTGTGTGTGTGTGTGTGTGTGTGTGTGTGTGTGTGTGTGTGTGTGTGTGTGTGTGTGTGTGTGTGTGTGTGTGTGTGTGTGTGTGTGTGTGTGTGTGTGTGTGTGTGTGTGTGTGTGTGTGTGTGTGTGTGTGTGTGTGTGTGTGTGTGTGTGTGTGTGTGTGTGTGTGTGTGTGTGTGTGTGTGTGTGTGTGTGTGTGTGTGTGTGTGTGTGTGTGTGTGGGTGTGTGTGTGTGTGTGTGTGTGTGTGTGTGTGTGTGTGTGTGTGTGTGTGTGTGTGTGTGTATGTGTGTGTGTGTGTGTGTGTGTGTGTGTGGTGTGTGTGTGTGTGTGGTGTGTGTGTGTGGTGTGTGTGTGTGTGTGTGTGTGTGTGTGTGTGTGTGTGTGTGTGTGTGTGTGTGTGTGTGTGTGTGTGTGTGTGTGTGTGTGTGTGTGGTGTGTGTGTGTGTGGTGTGTGTGTGTGTGTGTGTGTGGTGTGTGTGTGTGGTGTGTGTGTGTGTAAGACTTCACTTGTAAAAAAACTCTTAAATATATACTGTATATTACCTGTAGATTACCTGTACTGTACCTGTTTGTTTATACACACTGACTTGGTTACCTTCCCATCTCTCTCATTGACCCCCTTTCTGTCTCTCCCATCTCCCTATCTCTTCTCTTCCATCTCTCTTCTTGATCTCTCTTCATTTCTGTCCTTCCCTATCTCTCTTCTCCTTCTCTTCCATCTCTCTCTGCCTCACTCCTCTTCCATCTCCCCCTCCTTATATCTTTTACTGATACTCTTACTTCCTCTTGTCCTTCCCCCCATTATTCTCTCCCCTTCCTCCTCTCCTAAAGCCATTTCTCTCTCTCTCTCTCTCTCTCTCTCTCTCTCTCTAACCTTGACTCTCTTCTCCATACCTGTGAATCACCTGGCGTCATCCGCGGTAATTACACCCAATTGGCGACGAGAATTAGCACTCATTTTAGCAGTCATTAAAATTAGCGTTCTCTATAATTAAGGTGTCCTATTTTAGCAGTCATTAATATTAGCGTTCTCTAAAGAGTTTAAGGTCATTGCGATTGTGTGTACAGGAATTGGGTTCAGCGTAATTGAGGTCAAAGTGATTGGAGGGTATTAGGTTAATGTGATTAGAGGTTACATATATTGGGCTCATAATGATTGGAAGGTGGACCGATTGAGGTCAGCATGATTAGAGAATAGACCGATTAGGGGTCAACGTGATTAGAAGATAGACCGATTAGGGGTCAACGTGATTGTAGTGATTACGTGGAAGATAGACCGATTAGGGTCAACGTGATTAGAAGATAGACCGATTAGGGGTCAAACGATAGACCGCGATTAGACCGATTAGGGTCAACAACGTGATTAGAAGATAGACCGATTAGGGGTCAACGTGATTGGAAGGTGGACCGATTGAGGTCAGCATGATTAGAGAATAGACCGATTAGGGGTCAACGTGATTAGAAGATAGACCGATTAGGGGTCAACGTGATTAGAAGGTGCACAGATTGGAGGGATTGTGACATTTTAGGCAAACCAGTGATATTTTAGGGGGTCTATTTTAGGTCAGTTTTAAAGGACTAATTTAGGATGCCGATGAAGGATTCTAAGAGGATCCAGGGATGATTGGATTAGGATTTTAAAGGATTGACGAAGGATTTTACCGGTAAGAATGACAACAACAACAACATATAAAGATAAGAATGAAAATACAAATACAACAAAGACAATAACAATAAATATATAAAAAAATATTAAAATAAAAACAAAAACAGTGAAATAAATCCCTTTCCCCTAACATAAACACATACAATAAAGACAACCAAACAAAAATAAAAACAAATAAACATGTCATTAAAGGAATATAATAAAAACATGACAAATAAACAAGAAAATTAATAATAAACAGAACAACTAAAAGAAAACCAAAAAAACAATAACAATAGGAAATAAGAAAACAAAGACAAAATATTGATAATTAACAAAAAAGTATAACGAACAAATAAAAAAAAAAACGAAGCAAACAGAAAACATAACAACAGTCAACCAAACCGACACCCGGAGCTATTAACTCCCTCACGACACAACCCGGAATTAACTGAGAACTAACCTAACTGTCACACACTCACTCTCGGTCACTACACGCGCCGCCACCAATCAAAGCCAGTCATGATGGTCTCGGTCAATGACATCACGTAAAACCCACCAATCACAGTGGTCTCGGTCAATGACATCACGTAAAACCCACCAATCACGACAGCCCAAGCCAGTTACATCACGTAGAGCTCAATCACCTAACCATTACCACCTGATTCCACCTTAATTACCACCACCAAAGGAAGGAGAGAGAGAGTGAGGAGGGAATGTGAGAGAATGGAAGGAGAGAAGAACAAGTCAAGAAATTGAATAAACGTTTAAGGGAAGGGAAGAAGGAGACGAAAGCAGAGAGAGAGAGAAGTGGAACGAGGAATTAGACAAGAAAGAAAGAAAGAACAGCAACAAGAGACAAAGAGATAACATAAATCACCTCACCACCATCATTATCTCTCCCACATTCATCACTCGTCTATATCTCTGACACACACACACGTTCTCTCTCTCTCTCTCTCTATCTCTCTCTCTCTCTCTCTCTCAAATAACTTTCGGCAATTCATTGTTTTCTGTTATTTTTACTTTACAGAAAAAAAAATGTGAGGAAAACCTGTCGAGATACTGAACTAAAACAATTCAATTAGTTAAGCCGTTTACCGCATCTGTGGGAGCCAGCGATTTGACTCAGTGCATCCCAGGAACGCCACTAAACCATTAGGAGGACAATTAAACCCTTGGGAGCATCATTAAACCTTTGGGAGTACGATTAAACCCTTGGGAGTACGATTAAACCCTTGGGAGCACCACTAAACCCTTGGGACCACCACTAAACTCTTGGGAGCACCATTAAACCATTAGGAACACCATTAAACCCTTGGGAGCACCACTAAACCCTTAGAAGCACCAGTAAGCCACTGGTAAAACCAATAAACCCTTGAGAGCACCAACAAACCGTTAGGAACACCATTAAACCTAGAGGAACACCATTAAATCCCATTAAACCACAATGAACTCCTGTGTTGTCTCCACTGACTGCAAATATATGTTGACTGAAAAAACTAACCCGCTACTCCCACGTTCAGGAATCCCAGTGACCGCTGCCTGGCTCGACGTGATCACCGGGCACTTGTGGTCGAACTGTCGATTTTTTTGTACACTTTTGGTCGAACTGTCGATTTTTTATTTTATACTTGGTCATTTGTGTTTGAATTGTCGATTTTTTTTAAAACGAACTGAGGTCGAACTGTCGAATTTTGAGAGATATTGAACCGTGAGTCGAGCTATCATTTGTTTTTACCTTAGTAGTCTGGGGACAAAGTGACAGTTTCATGAACCATTGTTAGGTATTCACGTGGATTTGTACGTTTGTTAAATATATTTTACCTCTGGCTGACAACAGACACACACACACACACACACACACACACTCCTCCACCACTCACTGTCTTGTCAGCTTTCTCGATTACATATACCGCCATCTCGAAACGAAAACGTCTGTAGCTGTCGCCTTCATTGATTTCACTAAAGCATTCGACCTAGTCGACCACAATATAATCATCAACAAAGTTATTGACCTCGGGCTTCGGAGAAGTCTTATACCATGGCTTACAGATTCTCAGTGACTGACGCCAAGTTGTACGCTTCCGAGGGGCTGTCTCCACCTTTCAGTCACTCACCTGTGGCGTCCCCCAAGGCACCAAGATGGGACCACTCTGCTTCCTTATGCTCATCAATGATGCCCTAAGAGAAACCCCTGCTCGCTGGAAATATGTCGACGATTCCACCATTGGGATCAGCGTCAACAATTCTGCTCCCAACTATACCGCCCTTCAGGATTTATTGAACAGTCTCCAAAACTGGGCCACCAACAACCATGTCACCATCAACCATACCAAGACCATGGTTATGCACATCAACCTCTCCTCCGACATTGTCCCACCTCCTTCCATTACTCTAGGTCCGAACACACTCCAGGTTGTAGATTCCACGAAGCTCCTCGGCGTCACCATAGACAACAAACTAAATTGGAAACCACACGTCAGTGAAGTTGTCAAATCCTCCAGTTTCCCCACCTCCGCCGACTCAAGTCCCTCGGAGTTCCTGCACCTGAGCTCCCCAGTGTTTACACAACATTCATACTTCCCAAGCTCACCTATGCCTCCCCACCTGGTCTCCCTCCTAAATGCCACACACAAACACCTAGAAAAAGTGCAAAAGAGGGCATGCAAGATTATTCTCTCCCCTTCCTACTCCACATATCAAGAAGCGCTCAACACACTGACCCTTTCGACTCTCACTGACCATCACCACGACCTCATCTGCAAATTTGGTAAGAAGCTTCTACGCCATCCTCGACACCGGCTCCTACTACCACCTGAGATCCCTAGCCCGAGAATTGCTGTTCGACACCACAACCGCATCCAGCCCATACGTGCACGAACTGATCGCTATAAGAACAGCCCAGTCCCAACCATTGTAAAATTATCAATAACTTATTGAGTAAAAGTTCCATCCCTGACAAAAGTTCCACCTCTGACAGACCCACGTGGCAGTCAAGCAAAGCGCCCAGTCCTGAAGTTGGTCGGTCGCCTTGTATGATGTAAAACAGAGGGAGTTAGCGGCAGGTGGCGAGTGTACGGTGTGGGGGTGTGGCCAGGGAGGGAGGGAGGGAAGAGCAGGAGGAAGACTTTTGAGTGAAATAGGAGGGGAGGATGGAAGGAGGGGGGAGAAAAGGAGGGTAGGAGGAAGACTTGATTACAGAAGGAGGGAAGAAGATAAATGGAGAAGGAAAACTTAAATAGAGAAGGAGGGAAGGAGGGAGGGAGGGAGAAGTATGGTACAGAAAGGATCAAGTTAAGGAGTAACATAAGATCGAATATTAACACCACACTGACCTCTGAGTGACCATCAAACAACTACAATGCAGTAACTTGAGTCAAACCCTTCAATGACATAATGACGACAAAACTGATGTAAATAGAGAGGAAATAGGCCCCAATTCGTGTCCTTTAGAGAATATAATAGCAACAACAGGGTGCTAGTTACCTCAAATAGTTCTGTATTTATACCTCTGAATAGTTAGCATAGAATGTCAAACAACAGCAGACAGGAGACGCGGAGAAGATACAATCACAGGACGAACACGAGCAGACGGCAGGCGTTAGTGCTCGTCTTCCGTCCCGTATGAGCCTCGAGCAGACAGGTCAACAGCAGCAGAAGGGAGACTGCAGCAGACTCAGGCAGGTGTGGGGTGGGTCGACAGGTGGTGCCCACAATGGTTCGGGACACTGTGGTTTTCCTCCCCACTCGCCACTCTCACCTTCGCCCTCATGCACCCAATCCCCCCACACCTCTCTCTCTCCACCACACCTCCCTCTACCCCTCCCCCTACCACACTCTCTCTCTCCACCACACCTCCCTCTACCCCTCCCCTACTACACCTCCTCCACCACACCTCTCTCTCCACCACACCTCCCCCTACCCCCCCCTCTACCATACTCTCTCTCCACCACACCTCCCTCTACCCCTCCCCAACATTTGTCTCTCACCCGCCTCCACCCCTCCCTCACACCCCCTTCCACCCTTGTCCCTCACTTCCTTCGCCTCCCTCCACCTTTGCCCCTTTACAAGTACCACCTCTTCCTCTTCTCTTTTACACATCACGCCCTTACCTTCCTCCTTCTTTTCCCTCACTCCTTTTCCTTCCCTTCCATAATTATCGTTCCTCACCTTCTGAACTCATTTCTTTCACCCTTTCATCTTCCTCCATTCATTCTCTTCCCTCTCTCATTATCCTTTCCGTATCCCACTCTTGTTCTTATTCTTGTTTTTATTTATCTCTCTCTCTCTCAAGCTTCAACAAGGAAATAAGATATAATTAATTTCATGACCCTAAGCCTGGCCTGACCTAACCTAACCTTACTTGACCTAACCTAATCTAATACGACTGAAACTCTCCTAAGGGGAGAGAGAGAAATGACGATGGAAAGTGTGAAGCGATACAAAGAAAATTAGAGAATAACAAAGAGGTGACAATCATATTATTTTTATTTCTACAATTGTTTTATTGCCTGTTCTCTCTATCTCTATCAATCTCTGTTTGTCTCTGTCTTTCTGTCTGTCTGTCTGTCTGTCTGTCTCTCCCTCACAAAGACACACCCCTACAGGTTAATTATGAAGATCCTGACTTACTTCCGGTGGTGACGGTGGTTGTGGCTGCCATGTCGTTGAGAGTTAGCGGCCCACAGTCCTCTTGTCCGTTCAACTGTGTCCACTGATGCCCCCCCCCCTCCTCTTCCTCACTCACTCCTGCTGCTCCACGCTCTCTTACAACCCTCTTTGTTAGCAGCACGAATCACTCTTCTACGCCACACCTCTCCTCTTTTACACCGATTCTAGATTCCACTTTTTTTTCTTCTACTGTGAATCGAATCGGGAGAGTGTGATCAATCTTTTGCGTCACTTTGATTGGATCTTTTGAGTCTCTCCGTGTCTTGTACTTCGTCACACCAACGCACTTATACACAGGCACTTTATTCCACCTTAACTGTGTCTTTATAATCCACAGTACGTGTCAGACAAGGTTGGATAATCACTATGGACTGTTGGTTGATAAGTTCCATACGCCTTTTGTTGTTCTTGTTTCTTGATTGATACACACACACAAGTTTTTTTTCCTTTCTCCTTATTCTAACTCTCCTGTTTCCCCGAGGCTTTTGTATACACTTGTTTTGCTTTCTTCTGGTCGTCTTGGGGAAAACTTTTGTTTCCTTCGCATGAGAACCAAGAGTATCGGTGAGTCAAGATATCAAAAGAAGCTCTCTCTCTCTCTTTCGGTCAGTCCCTTTCAACCATACAACCTCTTGGACAGTTTTCCTCACATGCAGGTGTCTTCTTGAGTCAGGCAATTGAGGACGCTGTTTCATGCCCCTCATCGACCTCATCAAGATTGCTGTTACTCTCTCTCACTCACTCGTGCCCTCACTCCACAGATCTTCTATTGCCTTGGTTGTTTTGGTGAGTTCTCAGACGCCAGCAATGTTTTTTCGCCATTCTGTAGTTCCTCTTAAGTTATCATCTTTTTTCTTATTTACATTTAATTGTATTTATCACTCAATATTTACATTGGTGATTCTTCTAGCTTTCAATACTCTCTTAGTATTTGAAGTTTATTCTGTTCTTTCACTACAACTATGTTTATCTACAGAACTGATTTGTTCCTATCTTAGTATCACATTGTCACTTGATCAAAGAAACAGAAATTTACTCAACCAAAAATATAAAAATAATTCCTTTAATATTTTTTTTTATTTACTTATTTTTACTCATTGTTATATATAAGTATTTACCTACATCTGCACTTAATTATTTTTCTACCTGGCTATTGACTATTTAACTTGACTGACCGACAATACCTCCCGTTACGACCACCACCTTCTCGTGTTCATTATCTAACTCTGATCTTTTCCTTAATAGGCTCTCCACTTATCCCTCTTCACCTCATTTATTCCCCTTCTTATTTGTTTTCTTTTCATCTTCTTTAATTCTTCCTGTGAATCCTTTCCTATCCACTCTTCTCTCCCTCCTATCTCCCCCATCTCTTCCTTGTAAGTATATGAGTTCACTATTCCTTGCTGTGTGTGTATGTATGTATGTATGTACGTATGTGCGTTTTGAAGCAGCTACAATAACCTCCTAATGAATCGATCTGAACTCTGTCTGCCTCGTCTCGTCAGTAACAGCTATAGAGATGAACTAGGTGGCTGTTTGAGGTCACACGGGGTTAAAGTTCAAGGTCAGTCACTCACGCTTGACAAACCTCTCGGGTGTTTTCCATTCATTGTCTTTCTTTTGTTGTGTTAATTCCCAGTTTTATTATATTTTTCTACATTCATCCTTACATTCTCTTATCTATCTCCTTTCCCTCCTTACTCTGTCTCACCTTCTCTTCCTCTCTTGGCCCATTCCTCTTATTCACCTCATTACCTTCCTCTCTCCCTCTTTTCTTCCTTCTCTCCTATTGACTGTTTCTTTTACCCATCTCCTTCCCTTCTTTTCTCTCTCTCACTCTCCTTCAATCCTCTCTCTCTCTCTCTCTTCCTTCCTTTATCCCTCTCACTCTCTCCTTCCCCTACTCTTGACCGTTCTTCTTCCCACCACTTTACCTCCCCCCGAGGTTCCTGGGGTTGCGGGGGGAGGGGGGAGGGGGGAGGGATGGGAACGGTGACCTGAACCTGACGAGGAAAATCGACCCGAAGTCACCCAGGCATAAGTTCCGTTATTGTGTTTTCTTTGCTAACATTCCAGAAGTCTATTAATTTCTTTCTTTTATCTATCTACCCTATCACTCTCTCTTTATCTACCCTATATATCCATTATCTCTTCCTCTCCCATTCTTACTCTTTCTTTTTTTATTGGTCAATTTCATTATCATATTTTTCTATCTCTCTCTCTCTTGTTTTGCTTATACATATTTACTTAGCTTTTTCTTTGTCTCTTCTATTTATTTACTTATTATAATCTTACTCTCTCTCTCTCTCTCTCCCCATTTTCTCTATTTAAAACACACTAAGAAACAAACACGATATCATGTTTTGTTTTATTTTAAGTTCGACTGATTTTAACATTGTGTAATTACGATGTTGTTGTGAGAAATGTTTTATAGATGGTTAGGTTAGGTTAGGTTAGATAAGGTCAGCTAGGGTAGTTAATTTTGGTTAGGGTTGGTTGTCATTGGTTAGGTTAGGATAGGTTAGGTTAGGATAGGTTAGGTTAGGATAGGTTAGGATAGGATAGGTTAGGTTAGGATAAGCTGGCTAGTTTAGGATAAGTTATGTTAGTTTAGGATAGGTTAGGTTAGTTTAGGATAGGTTAGGTTAAGTGAGAATACGTTAGATTAGGATAGGTTAGGTTAGGATAGGTTAGGTTAAGTGAGAATACGTTAGATTAGGGTAGGTTAGGATAGTTTGATGACTTATATGTTTCTAAGGACATGCAACACTAAAGGAAGTTATTATGGTGTATCCTGTCTCAGATATTGCGTACCATCACGTTTCGGCAGAGATGACTGACAGGATACCTCAGAACACAAGACACAAACGTACACAACATGTACACATCCGGCTGCAGTACGTGTACATGTCCATAATTGTGGGAAATTATGAAAGTACATGATTGTTTTTGTATGTATGTATGTATGTATGTATGTATGAAGAGAAAGTGGGAGGGGGAGGAAGTGGAGGATAAGGGGAGAAGGGGAAACTAGAGGATAAAATGACGAAGAAGGAGGAGAAAATGGAGGATAAGAGGAGGGGAGGATGAGGAGGATGAGAAGGAAGTAGAATAGGGGAGGAGGAAGAGGGGAAGGAAGAAGAGGAGGAAAAGGAGGAAGAATAATAGGAGGGGAGGAAGAAGAGTAGAGGGTGAGAAGAAGAGGAGGAGGAAGGGGAGAAAGTAGAGGACAAGAAATAGTAGAAGTAGGAGGAGAAAATGTAGAAGAGGAAGACGGAGAAAGAAGAGGAGGAAAGAGATAAGTGTGAATGGAGAGAGAGAGAGAGAGAGAAAACACGACCAAATATTGTATTAAGTTTCTGTACATTTTCCGTCAAGTTCTCATGACGATTTCCGGTCAATTACCCCACGAATCACGTTACATCCACAACCACCCCACCAGCCACCTCGTAGTGTGTTTACCTCCTGCACCCAGCTTTCTATCCTGACACTCTTATTATTCAGTATATTTACTTCGTTAATCCTCTGGGGTTTTTTCTATCACTGTGGAGTTATCACTGGTGCACAATAACGAACAATGCTATAATCTATTACGGTGTATAAATATTTTCTGTTCATGATCACCTTTTGAGATTTTCTGTGACTATCACTTTTATGTACTCTTACCTATATAGTACTTTTTATAAGAGTCCCGGGCGTCGTATTGCCCTCCCATGCCCATCACAACCACCCACGCCCCTTCAGACGCGTCACACAGACACCATCCACCCCTGAAGGTTCAAGCGTCACTGGCAGCGTCTGGTCTAAGGAGCTACCAAAGGGCTTCCGCTCAGATGCAGGCGACGCTCCCACTCATGTTCGACCAGTTTCGTTTCTCATCGGATGGAATTTGGAATGCAACTAGCGTGCTTCCGATTAGTGCAGTGGATGCTTCTCCTGTTGTGATTTTATGTCTATTTTTATTTATTTTTTTATCTTTTCTTTGCAAAATTGTGGATTAACTTCTACCGTTAAGGATATTTAGGGTTCTGTTTGTCGATGTAATGAGTAATTTCCCTTCTCAACAGGTGTGTGTGTGTGTGTGTGTACGCTTTGAATCCGCGGTAAAAATATCTAATCCTTCTATTGTACTGCAGGTCAATCGTCTTCTCTTCAGCCTTCAGACACACGCGCTACGACGCCTCAGACATAATCTTCTTCAGTCTTGAGGCCGAAGGTATAGAAGCTCGGTGGTCCAGTTGAGTGGTCTTATGCGGTGTATTTACGGGTATATATATATATTTTTTATGTTGGTGACGACGTTCCAGTACCTGAGTCATAGGCGACGGCAGACCCGGGAAATTGTGGTGGCCGCGTTCGAGCACGTAGGTCAGGTGCGCTGGCCCCGTTTTGGGCGACGACTCTACCTAATTGTTTTTACCTGACGTGTTCGGCGTCTTCAGTTTTTTACGTTTCCTGAACCTTAATCGTCCAGATCTTTCTATTATTTATGTTTGTGTATCTACATGAATGTATAGATATACACATACAAATATATAGAACGCAGAGGGTATTCAGAATTAAGACGACTTTCGCAATGTATGATATATATTTTTGGAAATTTCAACAGGAGAATAAGTAGTTATCTCTGGTGAGTTTCCTCTCCAAGTCTCAATGGTTCTTAACCCACATATTCCTTCTTGTAATCTTTCTTATAACTCCCCTTAGTCAAAACACTCATCCAGTTACCTACATAAACTCGCAAGGATGCTACGAAGAGGATAAAGGAAGTCATAATACAGAGTCCGAACGAGGTTCCAGCCCAGGGCGTCTAATGGCCGCAGGGGCTGTGTCGCCCGGGGTTGCCAGACGTATACTAAAATATCCTCGCTTATATTTCTGTTCTAAACCCTAAAGAAATCTTTCGCATATCATTGGCTAGTAGATTAGTCTCGTCTAACATTTATATATAATGAAGGTATATTATATAGATTCTTAATACCAAAAGGAGAAAAATAGCGAAATGCTCGGATAAGATCTCTGGCTTTATGGAATACAACACAACTTTGCGGTCCCATTACTGCCTTATGTAGGTTGTCTCGTGTCCATAATTCAGCTCCGCCGTGATGTTGTGTGCTCCAGGTATGTTAGCCAGGAATATGGGGCAGTCAAGGTGAATGTTGAGGCCACCTGTGTGTGTGTGTGTGTGTGTGTGTGTGTACATCCTCAAGGTCCCAAATTACAACAGTGTAATGCAGCGTACTGATGAACAACACTCTTGAATAAACCTATACGATTATTATGATTTTTCTAAACTAAGATTTAATGAAGCTAGAGACGGGGTTTGACTTAACAATTAAAGCGTATAAATAGAAACAATAACAAAGTATTGACTAAGAATCGATACAAATATACGTCGTGTTTTTTATTATACGTTTGGTGATGTGTAGACGAAGTAACCCTCAGTAACACGTAAGACTTTGTAGATTAATAACTACTGTATAGACGCATTGAACAATAATCAGGTAATACTTCTAAGGCTTAATGGTATTGATATTTCCGAAGCTTCCCATCCATTAATTAAAAATAATCAAGCAAAAAATATTACCTTGAAATACCCACCAAGGTCATCACCCACAAGACAATACCCTCAAGAGTTTATGTTCGGTTCTAATTAATTTCAAATCCTTTAAGTGTAATCAGTGATGGATAACAGACCATAGGAACTCCACCTACTCACGTAAGCAAACTAATAATGATTCTTCGTACAGCAATACCTGTGAAGACTTACCTGAATACCTGTTTTTAATTGGAGGTTGTTCTCATGGTCTTAGAGATCCCTAATTGCCTGCTAATTACTCTTATCCTCACGCTGTTTATGTATTTAATTAACTAAAATAATACAGGATCCCGAAATTTTTTTATATATTATTTCAGTTAGATAAGAAACTTTTGAGGATAGATATTTAACAAACACTTAACACCACTTATAAATTTTGTAATCTAACTATATTACTCAGAGTTACAGCTACTTAACCTAAACTAACCTAACCTAACCAACAAGTGACCGTAAGAGCTGCATTCTCGAGCGTTTTGTTGTCACTCCGGTATGGAACACACACACTACGCTCTGGCGGTCACTGGATGCATGACAAGTGATCAAGACTCACAGTACCTGACCATTGTACTAGCTTCAGAGTCTACATACATACAAACATACATACATACATATATATATACATACATAATTCGTCATATAAAAGGACAACCGCAATACCTACAACCTCGATTACTAGAGACCCCGCTGCAGCCTGTAACGTTGATGTTTATTCCCAGGACGACGACCCCCATCACTGCCTCAGCTGTTTGTACCAAGCGTATCATTCCCAGGACAAAGGAAGGAATAAAACAACAATACTCTGCATGCTAGGCTGGAAGTACGGTGCTCTCTCTCTCTCTCTCTCTCTCTCTCTCTCTCTCTCTCTCTCTGGGTTAGGTTGGGTTAGGGATTTTCAACTAATCTTAGAGGTTAAGGTGTAGTGTAAGGCGGTATCAGGTTGTATAATAGGTGGTGTAAGGGTGTATTAGGTGGTATAAGGATGTATTAGGTGGTATAAGGGGGTATTAGGTGGTATAGGGGGGTGTCAGGTGGTGCAAGAAGGGGTATCGGGGAGTGTCAGATATGTATTAGGAACTATCATGTTGTGAAGTCAGGCAGTATTAGGCACTGTCAGATTGGTGGTGGTGTCAGTATCAGACCCTATAAAGTGATAGTGTCAGGGTTTATGAAATGATGTTTGTCAGATGATATTAGGCACTATCAGGTGATGGTGTCAGATAGTATCAGACCCTATAAGATAATAGTACCAGGGTTTTATCAGGCAGTATAAGTCATGGTGTTAGGCAACGATATCAGGTAATTTTCAGATGATAAGGCATTACAAAAAAAAATAAAAAAAACACGAGAGAGAACTGCGACATTTCACACTTCAATGACGAATCGATCAACACAAGGACCTAATCCCCCCCCCCCCCATTTAAAAATAAATAAAAACATTCCAACCATTAACCACTCTCATTATCCTTAAATTACCAGGAATTACTTCATTACCTTCATTACAGCTCCATTATCCAACGATGGTGTGGAAAATGACATTACAATCGGCACGGCCTACAGTGTGAGGGAAGGGTTACAGTGAGTGCTGTTTAGTGACTTCCCTTATATATGGTTTGTGTTATAATGGGGACAGAGAGGTGTGGGGGAAGTTATAATGGGTACTTAATGTGGGTTGGTAACTGATTCAAATTGGTATTTAATCTATAATACTTAATCAATTTTAATAGGTCCTAATTTACTATAATTTAAATTAATCAAAACTATCATAGCATAACCTCACCTGACCTAAATTAATGACCCTTAACATAGCCTAACCTAATCTGGTGTTTGACTCAGTATTGTCAGAAAATTGGTGTTAAAATAAGTGTGTGTGTGTGTGTGTGTGTGTGAGAGTGTATCCAAGTCTCTGTGTGTGGAGGGGTTGTAGGTAGGTTGTGTGTGTGTGTGTGTGTGTGTGTGTGTGTGTGTGTCCAAGTCTGTGTGTGTGGGGGGAGTTGTAGGTAGTTGTGTGTGCACGTGTATATACTCAGGTGTACTGTATATACTGGGAACAGCTGTGCCAACGTTAGGGTCCAGTAAAGGTAAACCAAGGTCACTTAACCTGTCCTTACTGCCAGAATAGTGTGATCACCCACCCCACCCCCCAAGTACCGCACAAATCACCTCTGAGACAGGACACAGCGAAATACTTATAGAAAACAGGTAACAAGTCATAGAAAACGGGAAAAGTTATAGAAAACAGGAAAAAGTCTTAGAAAAGGGAAAACAACAAGTCATAGAAAACAGGAAACAAGTCATAGAAAACGAGAAACAATAATAAAAAATGAGAAACAGAAAACAAGAAACAGCAGTCAAAGAAACCGTGAAACAACTGTCATAGAAAACGGGAAACAACAGTTACAATTCCCACAACTAAACGCAACATTACAACCTAAAAGAGAATACTCACAACATGAAGCTAAATCATACATTACCAACTACGTCAACATGTTACAGGAAATCGATACAAAAAACAGCATTAACAGCACAGAGCTAAATAATACAGTGACGTTATATCCTGCATCCTGGTGGTAAATGAGCTAATTAAATTCTCCTATAATGCTCTCGAGTATAATAAGTTGTCCTGCAGAGTTATAGAGAGTTGTATAAAGTTTTCCTTAAGTTATGAGATATACTGTATAGTTGTCTTAAAGTTATAGGGGGTTGTAGAGAGTTGTCGTAAAGTTATAGGGGGTTGTAGAGAGTTGTCCTTCAGGTATGGGGGGTTGTAGAGAGTTGTCCTTCCGTTATAGGGGGTTGTAGAGAGTTGTAGTAAAGTTATAGGGGGTTGTAAAGAGTTGTCGTGAAGTTATAGGGGGTTGTAGAGAGTTGTCCTTCAGGTATGGGGGGTTGTAGAGGTTGTCAGGGGTTGTGAGAGTTGTCGTGAAGTTAGAAAAATACTAGCTATTGTAGAACTTGTTGTTGAGAGGGAGGGAAGAAGGAGGAGAAAGGTAGAAGGAAGGGAAGGAGAGAAGGGAGGAGGCAGGTAAGTCGATTCGTCATCATCACCACCTCCCACCCCCCCCCCTACACACACAGGTGTTTCAATGTTGTGTTAAATCACCCTTGATGAAGCCAACCCTCTTTATAAACACTCGTCTACCTGAACACGTCTATAAATAACCACCTACTTTATCTTTCCTCTTAATTAACA